CAGGTTGAACCCCAATATCTGTTTCTGGGTTTTAATTAATCATGCTATAGCTGGACATTTCAGGTTCAATGACGTGGCTGCAGAGAATGGCTATTTGGTAAGTGTTCAGCTCACAGAGCTCATAAGGGGTAGAACTCCAGTTCATACTCTGTCAACTGACAATGCTCTTTACCCAACTCCATCAGTGTTCTGGACTGGGCAGCTACATTTCCACCTCAGGTAGTTCTGCCAGTCAGTGAAATCAGAGCACAGCAGGAGACAACTGCTGGATGGGAGGGAGCTTTGGGTTAACTTGGAGCATGTGTTTGAGACCCGTGAGCCCATTGGAGACACCTGGCAGATTCTTGAGAGACTGATGTTCAGAAGAAGTGTAGCCTGAAGTGAAATTTGAGAATCATCAAATGAAGATGAAATGGCCTAGGAAGTGTGTGGAGCATTGTTGTTCCTGGAAGCCTGGGGAAATCTAACCTTGTTTGTTTGTTTGTTTGAGGCAGTCTCATTGTGTAGCCCAGGCTTGCCTGGAACTTGCTACTTAGACCAGGCTAACATTGAACTCACTGCCTTTCCAGTGTTAGAATTAAACACGTGCGCCACCACACCGAGCTGTAATGCCAACTTTTTAAGAGTGGATCAACAGATGTGGCTTATACAGGCTCATGCCTGTGACCTCAGCAGCAGTTGGAAGGCTGAAGTCGGAGGATCATCATATGAGTTTGAAACCAGGCTGAGCTAGAGTGAGATCCTGTTTCAAGTGTTTATTTTATTTTATTTTGTGTGTGGGTGTTTTATTTGTGTCTATGCCTCTGTATTATGTGCATGCCTAGTACCTTTGGAGGCTTCAGAGTCTTTCAGTTCCTCTGGGACTGGAATTATGGATGGTTGTGACCACCATGTGGGTTTTGGGAAGAGAATCCTGGCTTTCCGGAAGAACAGCCAGTGCTCTTAGCCACCAAGCTATCAGTCAAGCCTCAAGATCTTGTTTCAAAAGCAAAAATCAAGAGAGAACAAAGGGCTGAGTGATGTGGAAGAAAAAGCAGAGGTAGTGTTACACAGACTTCAAGAGGATTAGACATTAAGCAAAGTGGGAAATGCTGAAGAGGCATTAAGGAAAATGGAGCCTAAAAAGCATCCTATAGATTTGACAACTTGGTAGAGAGAGGGTGGAATGAATTATTTCTCTGATAATTCCATGCCAGAATCTAGTTTGTTATTGAGGCTAATCTTTTGACACACTTGGCGATGCCAGGAAGCTGGTCACAGAGCTGACTGCCGCTAGGAAGAGGAAGTGCACCTAAATTTCACTGGATACCTTTTCCTCGTTTTTTTCTTTTACATTGTGATGTTTTCTTTGTTAATCATTTTGAGAGTCAGTCTCACAGTTTAGTCTTACCTGGCCTGGAACTTGCATTTAGACCAGAGTATCCTTGAGCTCACAGAGATCTGCCTGTCTCTACTTCTCAAGTGCAGAGATTTTTTTTACAGCCCCCCCCCCTCGTTTAGAAACATTTATGCTTTTCAGTCTGGGCATTGTGGCACATATCTTTAATCCCAGCACGCTGGAGGCAGGTGAGTCTCTGTAAATTCAAACCCAGCTGGTCTATATAGTAAGCTCCAGGTCAGCAAGGTCTACTCAGTGATACTTTGTTTTGACAACAAAGAACAGCTACAGAGTATCTCAGTTATTCATGACAGACTGGATGTTTTAGTGGGTAAAAGTGCTTGCTGTGCGTGCCTAATGATCAGACTTCAATTTCTAAATCTCACAGTGAAAGGAGAGAATTGATTCCACAAAGTTATCTTTTGATGGCCACTTGTTCACCTCCTCATATAAAATAATAAAACTGAAAATTAAACAAGATATTATTTGATGAATATTTTGTAGTGAAATAAATATAAATTATTTTCTATTCTGTTGTCCTGTGATCAGATATTATTATCATTATTCTTTGTTTACATGTTTGTTCATCCCTTAGACTGCAGGCTCTTGGAGAGCAGACTGTCTACACTCTAGAGTGTCGCCAGGACTTTGCATAAGAGCTTGACATGTAACAGATAATGATCACTAGTTAATGAACCAATGGTTCCTATCCTTTCTCTTGGTTATAGGAATTTTAACTAAAGCTTTCCTTGAACTCCCTGTGTATCCAGAGAATGTTGAACTCCTCATTCCTCTATTTCAACTTCACAAGTTGCTGGGATTACAGGTGTATGCAAAAGAATGGCAAGCCTGCCTGTTGTCTCGAGTTTCAAAGAGAGGCCTAGAGTTCTGGGAGCAGCCTGCCCATGACCAAGCCCTGAATTTTTGGCATTCTTTCTAACTCTGAAATGAAGTCTTAGACATTTTGATCTTTTTCTTTACCAGTTTTACCTCATTTTACAATGTCAAATGTTTAGAAGTAGGGGCTGGAGAGATGGCTCAGAGGTTAAGAGCATTGCCTGCTCTTCCAAAGGTCCTGAGTTCAATTCCCAGCAACCACATGGTGGCTCACAACCATCTGTAATGGGGTCTGGTGCCCTCTTCTGGCCTGCAGGCGTACACACACAGAAAATATTGTATACTTAATAAATAAATAAATATTAAAAAAATGTTTAGAAGTAAAAAAAATGGTTAAATTTTTTTTTTTCTGAATGTACCCCTTTAAATTCAGTACTTGGGAAGCATAGGCAGGCAGATCTCTGGGTCAGGCCAGTTTGGTCAATACTGTGAGTTCCAGGCCAGCCAGAGTTGCATAGTGAATCCTTATCTAAAAAAGATTTTATTTATGTGTCTCTGTGTGAGTATGTACATATGTGTACAGCTGATGGTAGATACCAAAGGACAGCATTAGATAAATTCCTTGGAGCTGGAGTAACAGGCAGCTGTGAGCCACCCAATGGGCAGGAACCAAACTCAGGTCTTTGAAAGAGTACAAGTACTCTTAGTCATTGTGCCGTTTCTGAGCCCCTCTCTTCAGCCCTCCTCCCCCTTTATTATTATTATTATTATATTTTAGACAGGGTTTCTCTGTGTTACAGTCCTGGCTGTCCTGTAACTCTCTATATAGATCAGGCTGGCCTTGAACTAATAAGGATCTTCCTGCCTTTGCCTCCCAAGTGCTGGAATTAAAGGTGTGTGCAACCCTGCCCAGCCTATTTCTCGCGTCAATTATTTTGTGTGTGTGCACGTGTGTGTGTGTGTGTGTGTGTGTGTGTGTACACATATTTTGCATCTGTGGATGCCTGAGACAAGGCATATATGAAGGTCAGTGGGAATCTGTTCTCCTGTCTTTGCATCAGTTCCAGGGATTGAACCCAGGTCATTATGCTTGACAGCAAGTAGCTTTACCAGATGAGCCTTCTTACATGACTCTAAAAATATTTTACTTACTTAGGCACCAGCCTGTGTGTTTATTCATTTTTTTATGAGACAGGGTTTCTCTGTGTAGCTCTGGCTGTCCATACCAGCCATTTAAAGTGACTGAGAAGAAGTTTTTGGATGAAGTGGTAGTTTGGAGTGCAGGCTGGTCCTGTACTGCACACCTGTAGTCCCAGCACTCAACACAGAGGCGGGAGGACCTCTGTAAGTTAAAGGCCAGCCAGGGCTGACTAGTGAGACCACTTTTCAAGAGAAAAAAATTCTATGCCAAACTCAACGTTGAATTTAAGGTAAAAGAAAGTGGCTGAAAATTTTGTTGCAATGGAGTGAAATTTAAGAAAATGATAAATTTAGTTTGGAGAGATGGTTCCAGCAGCTAAGAACACATACTACTCTTCAGAGGACCCAAGTTTAAGTCCTAGCCCCACATTTCAGGGGATCTGACACCTCTGGCCTCCGTAGGCTTCTATAGTCTCTAGGGGGATAGATACCACACTTAAAAAATAAAACTAAGTTTCTAAAAAAAAAGGATAAAATGATAAAATCATTACTTTTTTGGTTTTTATTTATTTAAAAAAGAAAACAAACTATCTTTTTTCATTATACATACCAATCCAAGTTCCCACTCTCCCCCCTTCCTTCCATTTACCCCTCCCCACTCCCCCATCCACTCCTCAGAGAAGGTAAGGCACATTGCTTTGGAGAAGGTTCAGAGCCCTCCCTACTATATCTAGGCTGAGTAAGGTATACATCCAAAGAGAATAGGTCCCCCCCCCAAAAAAAAAGAACCAGTACAAGCAGTAGGGATAAATCCTGGTGCCACTGCCAGTGGCCCCTCAGTCTGCCCCAGCCATACAACTGTCAACCACACTCAGAGGGACTAGTTTGGCCCTATGCTTGTTCCTTCCCTGTCCGGCAGGTGCTGGTGAGCTCCCATTAGCTCAGGTAGACTGTTTCAGTGGATGTACCCATCATAGTCTTGACCCCTTTGCTCGTATTATCACTCATTAAGTTTATGAAGTTACCTTTACCTTTGCAAATAGTGGATAGCTGAGTGTTATACTGAGTGTTGCATTAGATAGTACTGTTCTTATTCCAGTGGATCTGAGTAATCCAATGTAAGTCTTATGATTCCCTCTTCCTAGGAAGAGAAGAACATTGAATAATAAATTGATAAGGCTTTTTTGTGATTATTATTATTTTTTGTGATTGTTGTCTTAGATGGTTTCACTATGGAATTCTGGGTGGTCTGTGACTATATAGATTAGGGTGGCCTGGAACTCAAAGAGTTCTGCTTATCTCTGCTTCTCAAGTGCTAAGATTAAAGATATGTGCCACCATACCAGGTATAATGGTGCATAGCTCTAACCCAGCACTTGAGAGGCAGAGGCAGTCATATCTCTGTAGTTTTATGCAAGCCAGCCAGGGCTACATAGCAAGTTCCAGGCCAGCAAGGAAGGGCTAAAAAAAACCCTGTCTCAAAAAATAGATAAAAAGGAGAGAGAGAGAGAGAGAGAGAGAGAGAGAGAGAGAGAGAGAGAGAAAGAGAAAGAAAGAAATTATTTCTGGCTCAGCATTGAGAGATTTAATTTTTAAAAAATAAATTGTTATAACCTCCTAATTCAACATTGTGATTTTACTGCAGGATAAATAAAGAAGAAAACAGGGAAGGAGCAAAACATTAATTACACATGTAATAATAATGAGCAAATGTGGCAGGAAAAAGTATATGAGGACAAATGTAAGGTAGGTGGATATGTTTCCCTCTTCTTTGGAAAGTCTTGCCTAGAGCCAAAAGTTCCAGTGATAAGCAAACTAGTGGTGTCTGTGTACACGCATGTCTGCATGTGTTCATGCGTCTATGTTGTGACAGCGTGTACTTGCGTCACTCAGCTGTCCAGCTAGGGCCTTCTGGTTCTACGGTGTACTCTGCAGAGCAGGACAGAAGATGCAGCTGAAATGGGTGCTCACATTTGGCTTTTCTTAGTTCTGGTGACATCTTCAGCTCAAAAGTGGGCATGCCTATCTGGATGTGGCTGACTCGGGAATCATAGAGTTAGAGGTGTCCTCTGAGGGAGAAGAGAATCTCCAGAGCATCTTACAAATCAGAAGTCAAGTTTTCTTTTATGTAACATGACGGGGGCCGGCTTGTTGGGGTTTCCGTCCCTCCCAGTACCCCAACAGCCAGCAAGCAACAAAGAAAATCACACACAAGACTCCATAAGGTTATAAACTGATTGGCCCATAGGGTCAGGCTTCTTGTTAACTCTTATAACTTATATTAACCCATTATTCTGATCTATGTTAGCCATAATGGCTCCATACCTTTTTCAGCTGGGCAGGTTACATGCTGTCTCTTCGGTGGTCTGTACAGGAGTGACTGAGAGAGAGCTTCTGCTTCCAGAATACTCCCAGTCTCTTTGCTCCACCCCTACTTCCTGTCTGGCTTTCCTGCCTATACTGCCTGCTGGCCAATCAGCGTTTTATTAAAATATAATTGACAGAATACAGATAATTCTCCCACACCACTTTTAATTACCCCTAGAAAACATTGTTTCATCAGATGACTATATCTGTAATGAGAAAATAATTTTTCTATGCCTTTTCTGGTAAAGGTACTTGAAAATAGGAGCACACTTTGGCCTGGAGATGCAGCTAGTTGATAAGAGTACTTGCCTAGCATTCACAAAGTCCCAAGTTCTAGCCTTAGCAGCAAATAAAGTGGGCATGGTGGTGCAAGCCTCGAGTCCCAGCACCAGCTGTATAGATAGAAGAATGAGGACTACATAGCAAAGCTTGAGACCAGTCTGGGCTGCTGAGACCTAATCAGTCTTAAAAAAATGCATTAATGAGTTTTTTTCTCCAATTGTATTATATATTTTTAGAACAGATGAAAAATACCGCCAGGATAATTTAGTCATTTACCAGTCTAATTTGTTTTTATAAAGTGGAAAGACCCCAAACTACAAGTTCACTAGTTAGTTATAGTTTTAGAACTCTTATTTTTCAGTTAGAATTTTTGGACTGTGCTTCCTTTTCTCTCCTTTGATCCTCATTTTTAAGAATTGCTTCCTGGGTGCTCATGATAGCATTTATTTAAAATGTTTTTCCTTTTTTTCTGTTCTTTTTCTTGCCTACATAACCTTCAATATACTGCTCATGTGGCCCCATTTTCAGCAGATGTCATAGTTTCTGCCTGTGGTCTCAAAACATTTCATACAGTTTAAGAAGTTCCAACTAGGATTTGGTGGTTCATGCTTCTAATCCCAGCACTTGGGAGGCAGAGGCAGGCAGAGCTCTATGAGTTCAAGGCCAGCCTGGTCTACAGAGCAAGTTTCAGGACAACCAAAGCTACACAGAGAAACCCTGTCTTGAAAGCCCCAAAATAGAAAAGTCATGGTAGGACTGCAATCCCGGCACTTGGGAGGCTACGATTCATAAGTTCAAGGCCTGCCTGGCCTACATAGTAAGAGGCCATCTCAAAACTAGCACATCACCCTCAACCCCAGCCCCATCCACTTACAGATACTGTGATGGAAGGCAATAAGAGATAAAATATTGGAAATATTAAAGGAAGAACATTTCTCATAGTAGTCTATAGGTATTTACTTTGTTATAATTACTCTTAAATTGTTATGATCAGATATTTAAGTATGAAGATTACTTTTTAGTATAGACAGTAGGCAGAAGGCTTGGATTCAGGTAATGGGTATTGAAAAGCCAAAAAAGTAACTGAAACACCTAGATGAAGGATTTGTAGAATCTGGTGCTTAATCTGGAAAACCAGCTGATAAATACATTACTGTTTTAATTTAGCTTTATTTTGTCTGCATTTCATATATTTTCTTTCTTTCTTATTGGGGAAGTATTTTGAGACTGAGTCTTTCAGTCCATCCAGGCTAGCCTCAAACTCACTACGTAGTTGAGACTGGCCTTGAACTTTTGATCCTACTGTCTGTTTGATCCTACTATGAATTAGAGGCATTTGCTACTTTTCCTGGTGTATTTGTTACTTTTTGGTGCTGTGATAAAACTCCATAACAAAAAAACTGCTTTAGGAAGAAAGAATTTATTTTGACTTGAGATTCCAGAGGGTTAGAGTCCATAATTGGGGGTGTGGGAATGGGCATAGCAGCAGGCATTTAGAGAAGAAAGCTGAGAGATCACATCTTGAAGTTTTGGTTGTGAGTTTAGCTTTTAACCGCTGAACCATCTCTCCAGCCTGAGAGACCACTTATTCACATACAGGAAGCAGAGAGCGACTGGAAGTGGATAGAGGGTATGCATTCTCCAAGTCCGCCAGGGGCTCTCTATAGCACAGCTCTACCTCGTAGAGGTTTCATAAGCTCCCTAACAACTCCACCAGCCAGGAGCCAAGTATTTAAATATTTGAGTCTATGGGGGATATTACACCTTCAAACCATCACATCCAGCTTTTATACTTCTTTTTTTGTTTGTTTGTTTTTTAAATTGATTTTTTTTATTGAGATCTACATTTTTCTCTGCTCCTCTCCCTGCCTCTCTCCTCCCCTTCAAGGTCCCCATGCTCCTAATTTACTCAGGAGATCTTGTCTTTTTCTACTTCCCATATAAGATCTATGTAAGTCTTAGGGTCCTCATTGTTGTCTTGGTTCTCTGGGATTGTGAATTGTGGACTGGTTTTCTTTGCTTTATGTTTAAAAACCACTTATGAGTGAGTACATATGATAATTGTCTTTCTTGGTCTGGATTACTTCGCTCAAAATGATGTTTTCTAGTTCTATCCATTTTCCTTCAAAATTCAAGATAATATTTTTTTCTGCTGTGTAGTACTCCATTGTGTAAATGTACCACATTTTCCTTATTTATTCTTCGGTCGAGGGGCATTAAGATTGCTTCCAGGTTCTGGCTATGACAAACAATGCTGCTATGATCATAGTTGAGCACATGTCCTTGTGGCACAATTGAGCATCCTTTGGATATATACCCAAAAGTGGTATTACTGGGTCTTGAGGAAGGTTGTTTCCTAATTTTCTGAGAAATCACCACACTGACATGCAAAGGGGTTGTACCAGCTTGCATTCCCACCAGCAATGCTGGAGTGTTCCCTTTTCCCCACAACCTCTCCAGCATAAGTTGTCATCAGTGTTTTTGATCTTGGCCATTCTTACAGGTGTAAGATGGAATCTCAGAGTTGTTTTGATTTGCATTTCTCTGATGACTAATTTTCTCTTAATAGAATAAAACTTATAGTAATATGATTTACCTTATAGAAAGATACCGTATATAAACCATTAATATAAAATGAGTTCAGAAGTAAAAATATAACAAAAGTAAGTTATTCCTTGAACAATGATTTTTCCTCTATTGCTAACTGAGGGTCTGAGGATATATGTCAGTGGTAGAGCACTGCCTAGCATGTGTACAACCCTGGGTTCCCCATCCTAAAACTTTAAATTGGATGAATGAATGAGTAACGGGGAACTGGAGGAAGGTACTCAATTCTTACTGATTCTACTTTTCTGGGAGACTTGTTTTTAGAAGCTGCTTGCTGCCAACAGATCCAGGTACGTAATTATAACATAATATAGACAATGGGGAAGGAAATCTTTCCTATCACATCACAGTATAAAGCAGGTGTATTAAGTCCTGAGGATTACTGATGCTGAACCTGTCCTGTAGTATTTCACCTAATATTGTTATTCGTTCGTACTAAACAGAACACTTATCAAGAAGACAATTATGTGGTTGTTTTAAGTCATAAAAATTACGTTTGTTACTGTTCGTTGTGTGGAGGTCAGAGGACTACTTGCTTGTTTTGGATTTCTTAGTCTGCCCAGGGATTGAACTCAAATCACCAAGTTTGGCAGCAAGCACTAAACAGCCAATTCCTATAATACATTATTCCCTTAATATCTTTTGTGTTTATTGAGCACAAAATTAATGTCAAAGCATTAAGACTCTGTTACTGAGCCTAGTTCCTTTGCCCTTTTTCCTTTTTATTTATTTTTATTTTTATTTATTCTTCTCTCATATAATACATCCTGAGTGAATCCTTCCCTCTTCCCTCTCCTCCCAGTTCCTCCCTGTTTCCCCAGATCCACTGCTCCTCCATTTTTATTTAGAAAAGAGCAGGCCTTCCAGGGTATGAACAGAAAGAATGTGGGGTAAAAAGATGCAATAAGACTAGGCACTAACCATTATGTCAAGGTTGGACAAGGCAATCTAGTATAGGGAAAAGGTTCCCAGGATCAGGCAAAAGAGTCATAAACACCCTGCCTCCCACTATTAAGAGTCTCACAAAACCCCCAAGCTAAACAAACAGCCACAGATGTATATAGCACAGACCAATGAAGACTTTGTGATTACTGCTCCAGTCACTGCGAGCCCCTGTGAGCCCTGCTTAGTTGATTCTATGAGCCATGTTCTCCTGGTGGTGTTGGGTTCCCTAAGCTCTGCCCAATGTTTGGCTATGGTTCTCTGTATCTGCTCCTATCAGCTGACTGTAGAAACCTTTCTGATGATTATTGGGCTAGGCACCAATCTATGAGTATAGTAGAATATTAGGAATCATTTTATTGCCTTTTTTTTTTTGTAATGCAAGTAGTGTTTGATTTTACCCTATGTTTCTGGGCCAGGCAGCTTCCAGTTCCTGGCTATCTAGGCAGTTTCAGGCATGGGCTCTTTCTCAGTGGCTTGGGCCTCAAGGTTTTGTGGTGAGTTGATGTACCAGTCCTACCACTGGAAACTGCCTAGTTACAGATGACTGGTTCAGGCTCCATATCCTTTATTAGTAGGAGTCCTCACTAGGATCACCATCATAGGTTCCAGGAAGTTTCCAATGCACTGGGTTTCTACATTGCCCCAAAAATGCCCCCCCCAATTCCAGTCATCTCTCCACACACTTTCCCTTTATCCTCCCCCTCCTACCTAATCTGTCCTGTTCTCATCCCCACCCACCACAGTCCACCTGAAAAGTGTTTTATTTCCCCTTCCCAGGGGAGTCCATACATTCCCCTAGAGCCTCCTTGTTACTTAGCCTTTCTGGGTCTGTGGGTTGTAGCATGATTATCATTTTATTAACAACTAATGTCTACTTAGAAGTGAGTACATACCATGTTTGTTTTTCTGCATCTGGGTTGCCTTACTTAGGATGATTTTTTTTTCTAGTTCCATCCATTTGCCTGAAAATTAAATTGCTGAGTAATACTATTGTGTAGATATATCACATTTTATCTATTTTTCAGTTGAGGGACATCTAGGTTGTCTCCATTTTCTGGCTATTATGAAAAAAGTCACTATGAACACAGTCGCGCAAGAGTTCTTGTGATGAGTTGGAGTCTCCTTTGGGTATATTCCCAGGAGTGGTGTAGCTGTATCTTGAGGTAGATTGATTGCCAATTTTCTGAGGAACCACCATAGTTGCTGTATAAGTTTGCACTGCCACCAGCACTGGAGGAGTATTCCCTTGCTCCACATCTGCCAGCATAAGCTGTCACTGTGTTTTTTGACCTTAGCCATTCTGGCAGGTATAAGATGGAATCTGAAAAAAGAAAGAAAAGAAAAGGCAGTGTAGATGGATTCCAGAAGTGACTATCAGATAGCTAGGTAAACAGTAGCCAGTGATTCTAGATCCTTCAGTTATTGCCTTAATGTGTTTTTCTTTTTCTTTTTGTTTTTTTTTTTTAGGCAAATGACCATGGAAACAATTGAATCAGAACAGCATCGAAGTGTAATACACTCTGGGGCAGAGCACAGCTCTGCTCATATGCAGACTGGACAAATTTCTGTTCCTACTCTAGCTCAGGTAGGCCACAGGCAGGCACTGATAAAAGTTAAAATAAATAGAAATGAGAATTGTATGAAGATTTTTTTCACTTATCTTAAACATCCCATATTTATTTATTTGACTGACGAGAAGATATTTTTGCATTGTAACATAGTCTTGGTAGTACCCTGACCCGCACTGTTCCTAGCAATGTGGGAAGGAAAGAGAAAGACTCCTTTGCATGTAAACTCCCAAGTTATTACTTGACTGATTTGCTAATTCCAAATATATACAGTCCTAATTTGCTATTTATAATGTTGGTGGGAATTTTCTATTTGATCATTATATATTTAGTTTGATCTTTATTTTCCTATCAGTTAGATTTTGATTTTTTTATTAGTTCTTTGAGATTTTTGTATACCATATTTTGATCATATTCACCCCTCTTCAACTGCTCAAGTTTCTTCCCAACATTGTGTCCTCTTTTATAATTACATTTTTTTTTCTTTTTGAGACAGAATCTCACTGTGTAATCCTGACTGGCCTGGAACTCACCATGTAGACCAGGCTGGCCTTGGACCTATAGAGTTCTACTTGCCTCTGCCTCCTGAGTGCTGAGATTAAAATCTCTTATTCTCTGTATCTTGACCAGTTGTGGGTCTCTATGTTAATTTCCATCTATTGCAAACAGAAGCCTTTCTGATCATGGTTGAGAGGTGCTGGGTACAGATTTCAACTCATCAGCAAACCTTAAATCCAACTAGGAAGTGGTTGGTTGATTTCGTGATGTTCATGCCACTCTTATACCAGTGGCATGTCTTCTCAGGGCAATCATTATTGTGGCTTGTATGGTTCATAAGTGGCTGATATTGATGATTAGTTTTTCCTCCAGTAGCGTGAATAGCACCCTGTTGCATTATGGAAGCTAGCCAGTAGGGGTAAAGCTTTCAGGTCACTACTAGTTTCTACGACTCTGGTATGTGGCTTTTTTTTTAGCAACAGAGTCTTACTGTCACATTTCAGAGGGTAACAAATAATATTAGCAGTAGTAGTTTGTAGTGTGTGGGAGTCTGTTGTACCTGACTAGTCAACAACTCAAAAGGAGATGATCCATTCCTAGTACTAGGGTAAGGAAACTTATAATAGAAAGTATTTAATTGGGAGTTTGCTTATAGCTTTAGAGGATTAGTCCATGATCATCATGACAGGAAGCATAGTGGCAGGCAGGTTTTGGCAGGCATAGTGTTGAAACTGTAGCTGCATATTTTATATCCTGATTTGTAGGCAGAAGAGAGCTAAACTGGCCAAGTGGGGACTTTTAAAACCTAAAAGCCCACCCCCAGTGACACATCTCCTCCAACAAGGCCACACCTTCTAATCTTCCCTTTTACTGCTCTCGTTTGTAGAGTGAAAATGGGAGAGTGGGGCCTAAAATTGAAGCAGATTAAATCTCATGCAATAGCCAAGTTTACTCAGAGCATTAGATAACTTATATCTGGATGAGTCACCTGAGTAAAGTATATAATCACAAGGACAAGATGCATGTGATAAAAACTTATTTTTTTATAGAGGCATATGAACCAGTAATAGCCAGTTGTAATGAATAATCTGAGCTGAGTTCACTCCTATCTACTATACTTGGGGGGAGGGCATGAAAGCCCATCCCAAGAACAACCCATAGGAATAGAGGATACAAGACTGTTTGACTTGTTTACCTGGAGCTTTCTCACAAGACCTCAGAAATCTCCCACAGCTTCATTCATGGGCTGTGTTCTGACATCTTTCCCTTTTTTATTTATATTTTTTCCCTTTTTATTTTAAAAGCAGAATATCTAGTGGTTTTGATTTGAGATGTTGTAGATCAATCTAATTGTCATTTGATGCACGAGTATCCTGTAAGCAAGCAAATTATAATATTTGAACAGTGAAAGCATTGAAATACTGTGTCACCAAGAACAGAGATCCAAATTATGCCCAGTCACACTATTATATTGATCAGAAAAATCTAGAGAATATCTTGAAAAGCTATTCTGGTATCTGGTAAAACAAAAGTACATATATGCCTTCTAATAGGAATGCAAATTTTATAATGGCTGTTGCAAATAGGAAGCAGTTTAAATCCCAAGAAAAAATTAAACACAGTCTCTTCCTAGATGAATGCATGTGTCTATTACAGTGTCGCGGTCCAGGCATAAACATAGAGTCATTAGTAAAATAACTTCTCCCATGGTGCACAGGGCCTTAGCTTGGCCCCACATTGGCAGACTTGATTTCAATAATATGGTGAATATTTCCTTTTGCCCTTCAGTTTGAAGTTTGCTATCTTTCTGGTGACTTCTACTGTCTCTCTGACTTGATTGCTCAGGGCTAGAGGAGCTGAAGAGGGATCTATAATGTTTCAGTGCATCCATCTGCAATGGCAGATGCATACCCTTCCCAATTTTCTGGAGAAGTAAAAATAGGGCAAGTTAATGCTTCAGCTTGCTTATTTCCTTCTGCAATAGAACCATGAGTCCAGTGCTGGAAATAGTCCTACAACATAAGCAGAATCTGAAACTATATTTAAGGGTTTATGAACTAACCATAATAGATAAGAAAAAAAGCCAGTTCCACCTATTGGGCTAATGAAAAAGAAATATTAATAGATTGATGAATATCTGGACCATAAATTCCTCCTATACTGTTAGATGAGCCATCAATAAAATAAGTATCTGCCTGTGGAATGGGAGAAGGTTAAACAATTTTTGTTATCATAAATTTAGTTCTTATGAAAAAAATCCCATAGTTTGCCAGCTGGATATTGGTTTCCTATTCTTCTGTAATTTATTATGAAGTAATTTATGAATGAAATTTGAAAATCTATAGTGTTCTGCAATCCTCTTAAAACCTGATTGTTAGTTTAAAGTAATATAATACAGCAAGGATCAAATCCATATAATTGTGGACATCAGTTCCTCTGATTTACTAATTAAGAAGAGTAAGGTAAGCAGTTAGTATTTTATGGCCCATCTGGTATAAATAGATACAGTCCAAATGTTTATCCTTTTGTGCTATAATACCTGTAGGAGACAATTTAGTGGGGAAAAAATAACTAAATATAAAGGTAGTGAAGGAGCCATACTGTACACAAATGCTTTTTAGTCTGAATTCAAATATCTGTAGTACTTTTCTTGCCTCTCAAGATAATATGCAAAGACATGTCACCTCTCCTTCTAGAGTTTATATATATAAACTATCTATCTGTCTGTCTGTCTATCTATCTATCTATCTATCTATCTATCTATCTAAATAATCGGGTAGTGCATAAGTAGGTAAACATTTTGATTTTGCTGACGTTGCATCAAATATACCAAGTGCAGCTCCTGCGGCTGGGGACAAATTGGTAAACAAATTCCATTTTCAAGCTGTGTCCTAGCTTATGTTGTAAAGTTAGCCTTTTTATAGGCTCTCCTAATTCCTATTAAAAAGTGAAGAGAGTTCAAGATTAGCTAGATCATCACATTCGCTACACCTCCTTCTCTGGGTCTATCTCATAGCTGACTTCAGCTCCCTATTTGTGATGCCACTTGTTCACTGCTCTGGTTGGCAGTGTGAACTGGGGATAGCGGGGCCTAAAAATGAGGCAGATTAAAGTCTCATGTAATAGTCAACTTTATTCAGAGCATCAAACAATTATTAACTCTGAGGGTTAATAAGAGTCACCTAAGTAAAGTATGCAATCACAGGGACAGGCTGCATGTGGCAAAACATGTTTTTCTGTAGAGGCATATGAGCCAATAATAGCCAGTTGTAATGAATAATCTGAAGTAAACCCTACATCTAGGAGGGTCAAAAAGCACATTCCAAGAACAACCTATGTTATGGAGGAGCAGAGGTTATCAGACTCTTGTCTTGTTTACTTGGAGTTTTCTCATAGGGTCTTAGAAATATCATACAGCTTCATTCATGGACCATGTTCTGACATCTTCCTAAACAGTCCAACAACTAAAACCAAACATTCAGGTATGAGTCTGTGGAGGCCATTCTTATCCATTCCACCACAGGGGCTTTTATTTGATAGTGTATGATATCTATCGGGGCATTGCTACCTCTACTAGAAAGAAAGAAAACCTCATTCTGATCCAAGATGACCTACAACTAAGAATGTAGTTAGTGTAGCCTGGTCTTAAACTCAGTGTACTGCTTCTGTCTCAGACACCCAAGTGTGAGCTACTACATCTGGCTTCAGTTAGGTCTGAAACTTCAAAATGGTTTCATTCAGAGAGTGCTAATAATACTTAATGCCCCTTGATCAGATCCCAAGATACTTATATAAATAGGTAATAAAACAAATACATTTATGAGTTTATTGGTTTATTAAATAGTTAAGAAAGTAAATGTTTAAAAGAATACCTACTGACTGACTTTTGCCATAGTTTTAAACACAGAGACTTGTAGCTTCTGACTTAAAATAAAGCTTTGAAGTGGTGTATCAGTTACTTTTCAGTTGCTGTGTTAAAACACCATGACCAACTTAAGGAAGAAGAGTTTGTTTTGGGCTTATGGTTCCAGAGGGATAGGTAGCCATGATGGCAGAGTGGAGAAATGTTACCAAGTGGCAGGAGTGGTGCCTGCAGCAGGATACTGAGAGTTCAGACCTTGAGCAAAGCACGGAGCAGAGAGAGTGAAGAGAGAAGAGCCAAGTCCTTAGACTCTCAGAGCCTGCCTTCAGATATGTACTTCCTACAGCAAGACCACCTCTCAGACCTACCCCAGCAGTGCCTGCCCAAATGGGGAGCATTGTTTCAAAGCACCATGAGTAATGAGCTCTATAAGTATTTCAACAATTCCAGTACACATGAAATGGTGGTATGTGCTGTATACACTGCAAAAAGAATGAGGCATATAGCAGAGGAAGTAGTCAGTTGACTAGGCACTCTATGTGATTTTCATTTGAGGTAAGTACAAGGGCTAGTAGTTTTTTAGGTGGGTGTGGAAAGAGAGGGGAGAGTATTCTGGGTGGAGAGAGGAATGTGTGCAAAAGTACAGTTAGCCTATGG